ACATTTTACATATTCCTTTTTTTTTTAATAAGCAAAACTTTTTTTGGCAATGGTATAGAACCGTCTGCCTGGAGAATATAACGTTATATATTTGGCAATAATAACTTCCAATTGGTAACAATTGAGTGTATTTCTATTATCAACGTTACATGTTAACAAGTTAGTTATAATATTGTGCTTATTACATTACATACTTGAATTTTGTAAAAATTAATGTAACAAGCACAATATTATAACTCAAAAAATTTGTTAGCCTTGCATCCACAAGATTATTGGGATTGCAGTTCCGAAGATGGGAGTTAATATCCCGAAACGTCAACTAAAAATATACTCAATTGTTACCAATTGGAAGTTATTATTGCCAAATAACTAAAAATAAAAAGACAACTTCCCAGAAAAAAGAGCTTTATATAAATATATCACATAACGTTATATGATAATTTTCGGAAATAATACTTTTGTGTATATCTATTGTTTAATATTAATTTCAATAAAACATTTATTATTTTATGATATATGATGTATATATATATATATTTTTTTACTAAAAGTGACTGGCGATACTTAAATAAAAACATCCGGAAATTGGATATAGCCTACGAAAATATTTCTCTCTTAAAATGAATTAAAATTTACTTCAAATGAAACTATAGTTTGTCATTGTAAATAAAACCATTTAAAGAGAACTTTTGATCAGCTAAACTAAGCGAAGTTTTGATTTAAAAAAAACATGAATTATTCGTGACTTTTTTTTTATCATCCTGCAACATGGCCTTAAAACATATATGTATAAACCATTTTTAATCTTTCCTTAATTCCAATCTTAATCTTTCCACGTTGAAAATTTGTCAACTGGATTTAAAAAATCAGGGAACATTTTTCCTCCTGATTTCGCTAGAAAATTCTATCTAAAAATGACATTTATTCTTAGCTAATTAAACAAGTAGTAACATCCCTTAAATACGTAATTTCAATTTCTTATGACTTTTCATTTTGAGCCAGACTGTTGACAGAAATGCAGATATTTTTGCAAAGACTTGGTTATTTGGACTTAGATGGCCTTAAAACATGGATAACCATTGATCTTTCTACGTTGAAAAGTTTTCCACAATCGCGATCAGGGATTGAAATGAAATTTTCCACGTTGAAAATTTTTCAACTGGATTTCAAAAATCAGGGAACATTTTTCCTCCTGATTTCGCTAGAAAATTCTATCTAAAAATGACATTTATTCTTAGCTAAATAAACAAACAAACAACAATTAGAATCAAAATTAGTTATTCATTTAAGATAAATTATAATTCTAATCTAGACCCAATTACTGTTTATTTCTCATTTCATGTAACTTTTTAAAATAACTTAAATAAATAAAAGTTAAACTTATACCATAAACCTAGAATTTAATTACAAAAAAGTTCCTTAGAACTATTTTTCCAATAAACTTTGAACTCCGGTTTTCTCTAATATATGTCGTATGTGGATAAGTGAAAGTAAGAATTTAACCAAAGTTGTGCATTACATTATGAGTAAACACATAATTTCATATTTTGCCCGATTTCAGATACTCAAAACTGGTTTAAATATAGAAATTGACTATTATCCTTTAACATCTTTAGAGCATAAGACGAAAGTTGCGTTAACACCCTAAATTTTTTCCGTTACAATTCTCATTAAATGATTCCCCTCGGATCAAACTTCTCGATTAAATTCTGGATTTCATCCCGATTCGATAATACGTACGATTTTCTGTTTAAACGCTCCGATCTACTTGGGACTAGTTTGTGGTATAGACTACTTTTTATTAAATCATTAACATCCCTATAGAATTCCGTGATTGGCTTCGTCTTATCGTAACATAAAACTTTTTTATTTACGAAAGCTATCGAAAATTGCGCGTTTTCAATGCAGAGATCGGTAAACTTTGTCTAATAAATGAGATAATGAAAACTCATGAACACCGCCGCAGAGCCATCAAAATTTTTGAGGGAGGCACATTTTGACGAGGTTTTGAATTTTCGAGGGGGGGGGGAGGATATTTCGACGGGTTATGAATTTTCGGAATGAAAAGTTTCAAACCAAGAGGAAACAAGAGGAAAGCAAAGAACAGACCACTGAAAGTGTCTTTGTATAAGATCATTTATTTTTTAAATTCTCTTTTAGCTTGCACTGTTTTTAAGAAGTTGAGAGGATTAAAACATCTAGGGAGAAGGGCATCCCTGTGAACACCCATATGCTTTCCACTACAATCTTAAGATAATTTGATCGAGAAAAGAAGTGGCCTACAAAAATATTGGGCAGTTTAGCATGACATCCATCTCCAACATGTCAAAATAACGAGGATATATAGCACAATATTTTTGTAGATTACCTTCTTTTCTCGATTTTGTGATCAAATAATCTTACGATTTCAGTGGAAAAAGGTTTATATGAGATCTTCGAACCTAATGAAATTAATTTATATGATGAAAAAACGCCACATTACTGAGAATCTTCGTAGATAAACATTTTTAATCTAAATATATAAAAATGAATGTGTCTGTCTGTCTGTTTGTCCTTTATGCATTACTAAACCATTCATCCGATCGCCATGAAACTTTGAGAAGTTGTTCCGTACACTCCTGCGAAGGTTTCTGGCATAGTACTTCTGTCTTACGATAATTTTATATATGTAAAAAAAATAAAAATGTAAATTTTTTTTGTTCAAAGCCGCAAAAAAATGTGTCGCTATAAACTGTAGCGCCAAAACGGCTTTAACGATTTTAACGAAACTTGGCTAAAGTCTTCCCCTTGAAACCCTTTTAATTTATGTGTATAGCATACTTTCCCGAAAACAAGCTGAAAATTTTTTACGATGAATTCAATATTTTATTTGCTGATGACATTATGAAAGTATCACATTTGTTTAATAATACCCATATTTATTTAAATTTTTTTCGAATTCTCTACAAAATAAAAAAAAATTTATCGAAATCGGACGTTTCATTGCAGAGTTATAGAGTTTTAAACATTTACAGCTTTCTGCTCAGAAAAGGCCATTTCCATTTTTTTTTTTTTTTTTGCTATCAATTAATCGAAAATTTTAGAATTACTACAGTAATTTAAATTATCATTTGAAGAAATGACATGAATCTCTTTATGCAGGTCAATACTATTATACGCTCTTTACACTATTTTTTTTATTTTCCTCCCAATTTATTCTGGAAGTAGTATGATACATTTCAAATATTTGATTTGCTGTTATTTAACTCTTGAGTAATACTTATCACCGTTTATGTTCCTTTTAGAAATCAGTTTTTAATTGATTTCAGTTTATTTTATTTTTTAATAAATTATTTTCTCTAACATTGTATTGAAATAACGTTGTGCCATTTACCGTAGGATTTCTTTCATGAGTATGGTTTATTTTTCCACTAAAATTTTTGCAACTCTATATTTAATCAAGTTGTTATTAAGAAGAAGCAAGATCAACTATCTTAGGAGGAGTATGCAAAATTTTTTGAGGAAGGTGGAAGGTAGTTCTAATGCACACGAAATGAACGCTATGATAAATGGTATAGCGCAGTTTCAATTCATTGCCACGATCGATATTTGAAAATTTTTAACATTGAAACAGTATCGTAATATTTTACGATTTTTTTAATAGTAGATATATCAAACCACTCGCGTGTTTAAATGCAACGTTAAGCTAAAATATCAAGGCAATGGGTGAAGAACTTTCTGAGATTTAACAGTTTAAACAAACAAACATTTAAATTCTTATTTGCCATAAAATGATCAACACAAAGTTGAACATTAAACAATACATTAAATATAAAAAATATATATAATAAAATTAAATATTAAATATGAAAATATGAGTGGCTTAATATCAAAGGACCGATTTCTGTCATTTTCAGAAAGCGGAGATAAAGTCAATTTTAGTTTTATAAGTACCTAGGACTCCATCTGAACAAACATCTAGCTTGGAATCCTCATACCAGACTGAAACGACAAGAAACAGCTCGACGTTTCCTACTACATCAGCACTTACTAGACAAACGCTCTAACCTTCCAATCAATTATAAAAGACTCATATACATCACTATAATAAGGCCTATTTGGACTTACGGAGTTGAGCAATGGGGCTCCACCAAACCTTCAAATTCCTCTCGCATCCAATCCTTACAATCCAAAATCCTTCAATTCAAAAATTATCCATAATGACCTTAATGTTCCTTATGTATTAGATTTCCAGATATCTGTCCTTCCATAATAAACTTCATAACCATCCCAACCCTCTTGTTTCTAACCTTGCTTCCTATTCAATTCCTGATAACCCTCCGAGGCGTCTGAAAAGAAGATGGCCACGTGATCTTCTAATATAGACATATTATTAGAGTGCTACCAAAGGGTAGTTTCTCAACATGTGTTACATCTCATTATATCCATGTGCGAATTTACCAGATGTATTTTTTGTATACAGTTGTAAATATCATATAAATAAATAAATAAATAAAAGTTTTACTCAGACTGTTTCTGATGACTAAGAATGATGGCGTATCCACTCAGATGATAACGAATGTTCAAGTTGAATCATGATAAAAAATCATTAGAATTAGATTAAATTGAAGCCATTTTACAGACAAATTTGTTTCCCAAATTTTTAAAAATGACAGGTGTCCTTTGGTATTAATCCACTCATATGTGCTTTCTGTTTTCTTTCTTTTCCATTTTGCCAGGCAAAGCCACAGCAGCGCGTGGCCGGATAAAGCTAGTAATTTAATAAAAACGAGTCTGTACCGCGGACTAAAAGAATTTTATTTCCGGAAAAACGTAGGATTATCGGCGTGTCCTGCCTTTAAAGGGGAGAGTCCATAATTTGATTTTTTTTTTTTTTCCAAAGCGCAAAGGATTTGCAAGCCTACATAAAAATCGGGATTGTTTGTGAGGGGGAGGGGGATTTGTAAATGTGGAGGGGGTGAGAGGAGGTTGGTGGGGGTAGCCAAGTGGTGCAGTCGGCCCTGGGCGCCGCCCGGGTCATGGTCCATAGGTCGTACATCTTAATTTTTCTCCTCGCATCAACTGTACTGTCGCTTTTCATAATAGAACGATCTCTATCCAGGCCTCGTCATAACTTTAAAAAGGTATCAATATGGAAATAATGATTTGTTCGTTTCATTTCTAATGTCCATTTTTACCCTATATAATGTTTAATTGCAATTGAGGTAACGTTCTCAATTCATATCAAGTTGAGTGAGCTAAAATGTATAAGCTTCGGAAAAAAAAAAAGGATCTGATCCCTACGTCTGGTATTAAGATGAGAATTAGGTCATTCATTGAAATTTCAATATTTGGTCAGGTTAAATACGGTTCTCACCATCCATAACCTTAACCAACATTCTACTACGTTATAGTAGTTCATAATAAAATAAAACATATATCTATTTATACACGAATATAATAAATAATTACGGATTGACAGTACTGTTAACCTAGTAAACAATGTGAAAATACAATATTAAAGAGATGATATATATTTTTAAAACAATAAGTAATTTATTGTTATTGCTTCAACGTATTTGATTTCATTAACGAAATAATAATAAAAAATACTCTTGTAGTTAACGGCATATTGTGTATTTATTTTTTATTGAAGATGATCATTGCTAAAAACGTAAGTAAAACAAAATCAAATCCCAAATATTTGTTTATTAATTATTTATGAATAGCATAAATGATCTACAAAATTAAACGTGTTTTTAATACAAAGAAAGGAATTTTTCATGAGGTAAAAGATACAGTGTTACCAACTTGCTTTTTAGTTACCATCCGGCAAACATGAAAATACACACAGAAAGAAGAGGAATGGCACTATTTGAAATATTCCGGAATACATTTTAATGTAATACAGGTTAGGTGTTTTTTTTTTTATTGTTTTTTTTTATTAACGATACGATTGTAAAGGATCATTCAAGTTGAATGTACCGTTATTATTGCTATAGGAATATTTCTATTTGTTCCTAGAAACGACAACGTGGTGTGACTAATCCGCAAAGCGACACTGGACTACAAACCGTTTTTTCGTACTTGAACTGATTTATATAGTTCTAGAGCTACAACTAAAAATTTAGCTACTGTGTTTTATACGAGTAGTCGAAATAAATTATGATAAAATGGAAATGAGAAAGCATTCAATAAAAAATCTGACTGTTTTATCAACAGTTTAGCGTGACAATGATGGATTGCTTGAAATTAATGAATTTATTTCCCCCCCCCAAAAAAAAAAAATGGAGCTGAAATACTATTTGCCAAATGTGAAAAGAAATAGCGGCGAAAAGGGAGAGTCAACTAATTTCATGTTTGAAAACGTAGTTATATTAATTGAATTATTAATTTATAATAATCATTAATTTATTTATTGGTATACATCTTGTATACTACACATATTTCAAATGTTTTTTACTTTTTCAAGCTTTTGATTGAGTTTACCATCCGAGAATGTTCTACAAAGTCCGTCAATTTCTATCCCCTAAATACTTTCTCATTACTCGTTCTTACCTCACAGACAGATTATTCAAAGTAAACAATGAAAACCAACACTCTTTTTCAGTCTGCTGATGTTCCTCAAGGTAGTATCCTCGGTCCTATATACTGCATAGTTTATACAGCTGACGTTCCAACACACCCTAACAACACAACCATAACCACATCTGCTGATGACAGATGTGTGTTATCAGTTAATAATGACTCATATATTGCATCGCAAACTCTTTAGTCACATATCACAAAGCTTGAAGAATGGAGTCAATATTGAGGAATAAAATAAACCCCAACAAATCCCCTTTAATTTTTGTTGAAAATCTATGACTTTCATTCCTAATGTATCCTTTTATAGTGCTTCACTAATCCAAGTTGAACACGTTTCGATACAGGCAGTTAATAAATTGAAGAAGTTGGGCTATGAAGTCCTACCACATCCCCTATATTCTCCTGAACTGTCCCCTACAGACTGCCACTTTTTTCGGAGATTGGAGAACTTTATGCGAGAAAAATTGTTTACAAATGATTCAAACATAAACAATGCGTTTTCTGACTTTGTTTCCAACTCGTGACTCAAACATTTTCAAATCTGGGAGTGATAACTTGCTTAGTCGTTGGCAAAAGTGTATTGTGAGATAAATATTTTAATTTGTTCGTCAGTTTTCTTATTTATTTTCTGTTTCTAAAAACAGCCATTTCATGTGAGTCGACCAATTACTTGATTTTTTGTTATTCTTGGGGACTCAATGTCCCGCAATGAAGATGAAATTAACTAATCCTACCAACACCGCACCAGAGGAGGCACCCTTACCGGAAGGTGAGAAACAATGTTATCCTGAAAAAAAGTACTTAATCTAAGTAACAACCGGCACATTTATTATTATTATTATTTCAATTAAAAAGTGAATTGTACTAAATAAATAAATTTTATTTACATTTTGTAATAAAAAACAACAAATATTTAAAAAAAATTAAATATTTACACAAAAAATTCTTCATTTATTGGCGAAATACCTGAGTATTGTAGCTAATATTAGTTGCTAGGGTGCTTTGATCCCTTGGAAAATATTACTTTCACTTATAGCCCTGGAGCCAGGACCCAAAAATCGACCTGATCGCAGGCGAAGGTTTAATTGTAAATTACGAAAGTGAATGTTATTCTGAGTAAAAAAAACCTTGTCTGCCGTTCCGGAGCCGCTGCTTTCAAAAACGGAGGCTGATTTAAAGAACATTAGGCCAATAATTTCAGGATCGAAACGGGAAATCCATTGCGAAAAATGTGAGAAAAGTTTCTATTTTTTTAACTTGTATATATGTGTTTAGACATGTAAAAAACAAAATTGCTAACGCAGGCCACCAAGGGAAAACTTTTTACAGCCAAAAAAGTCAGTTTTTTTTTCGATATTTTTGGGGTTTTATTTATCTATAACTCCTAAACGATGCACCAAAGCGAAAAATGTGTTCTTTAATAAATTAAAGAACGTTAAATTTTGCGTCAAACGAGTACATAAACTTTAAAAATTGGATACGCGGTAAGGAATAAAACCACGGTCAACAAACGTTGAGTTTTACCAAATTTGTCAAAAACTGAGACAAATTACTATAAATGGCCCTGTAACTTGGAAATGAGTTTCCTAAGAGGAAAAATCCATAGAATCAAAGTTGTAGATCATAAAATTTTCCGTATACTCAGTATCAACTAATTTAATGTATAATGTTTAACTAATGTAATATATAGTAAGAGAAAGTATTGTGATCGTGAAAATTTTCGAATCTGAGTTTTCAAGGGATATAAATATTTTGAGTCCAAATAACAAAGTTCTGCGTAATGGTCAGTGTGTATGAATAGTTTAGCTTAAAAATGAAAAATCTTAGGCAACTCAAATTGCATATTTAAGTTTTGTCCATTCCTGAAATATTACAGCATTTTGTTTCGTGAAAATCGGCTAATCGGAAGTGCTAGTTTATATCATCGACTTTATTTATTTTTCTCGAAAACGACTCTAATGAATTTGATGAAATTCATCATTATATCAGTATAAAATTAAGCGTTTTTTGATAGAATGTAGGTTTTATTCTCATTGATTTTCTCTAACAGAGGTTAAAAGCCTAATTTTCAAAGTTTATCCCTCTTGAGTAACTTTAATTTTTTTTTTTCATTTGAAATATTAAACATCATCAATTAATAATTAACACATAATCAACTGATATAAAAAATTGTTAAATATAATGAATAGAGATAATTTATTGGTAACTAAAGGAGAAATAAGGGTTAGAAACTATACGGAAACAGCTGAGAGCGCCCGACCTTCGTCAATCCTTTTCCTTTACAGATACCGTTTACTCCTCAGTACACGGATTTCATATTGTTAGTTTAACTTTTATACATCAATTATCCATAATTTTTCAAAACGGTTTTGGCGCGAAAAGTGAGCATCAACCAATATATACCAAGTTATTTTTTCAACGAGTTCGTGACAAATGTTTTCGATAAAATACTGAATATTTTCGAAAATCCATTTTTTCCTACAATCATTAGTATTGTTTGATCCTATATGCAATGGTAAAAGGAAATGGAAAGTGACGCAAACATATAAATCTACCAGATTCGATGGGTGGAAAATATATGGTAATTAATTGTTTTAAATAAAGGTATACCGTAGTTTTCACTTTGACATCTCTATAGATGAAAATACTATAATATAGGTAAGTGAATGTTTTGAGATGCGCGCACCACACTAAATGTTTAAAAATGAATTTGTGGAAATAAAATAAAATGTTCATAGACGTCAATTACCCAGTCAAGGGATCTTACCACCATTTTATGGCAAAATACTGGACGAAACAAGACAACTAAAATTCACATTGCTTTTCATATACATTTGGTATATGGAATTCACCGGTTTCGAAAGTGTGCACCCCCCCCCCCCCCCTCCCATCCTCAGAACATTGCTGGATCCGCCACTGCAGCAATGTTACAAGAAAGTTAACTAAATCATTTACATTTTCCGGGTATTTGAGTGCTATCAGTGGTAGTGTTCCCCAAAATGCGAGACCGAGACGAGTCTTGGTCCTGCAAACTCAGTCTGGGTCATGGTCTTGATCTTGCGCAAGAGTCTTGCAATTACTTATTAGCTTATTACTATAGAGATATTACTGTATTTTTTTAGATAGGAGAAACCTAACTAAGCCCGAATGAAAACTTAGAAGAGTTAAATGTTTAAAGTTATACCAATAATTAACAAATAATAACTAAGATTGTCAAGTATTAGTAACTATTTTGACTTAATTTTTATTTTAAAAAAACATTTTTTTTTTTAGCAGTCCTGGTCTTGGTCTTGCACTGTGCAAGACCAAGACCGATTTTCCGCAACACTAATCAGTGGGTAGTTTCTCAACAAGCGATTTCATGTTATTATATTCCTGAGTGCATATTTGCTAGTTGTAGGCCTTAAGACATTTCATCCATATAATCGTATTACAAGGGCAAGTCCCCAATATATGCCCTGGGAAATAGAGCGTTTTTGAAGGAAACTTAGCCAACAATAAAAAATAAAAAATAAATTATTATTTACAGGTTTTTCCCAAGAAAAAACCAGAATAC